GTCATAACTTTCACCAAACAACTTATAAATATTTCTAGTTTTTGCTGTTTTTTTACGTAGGCTTTCTCTTGTGAATCCTGGAATATTCGTTGCGATTTCACCATAAACTAACCCTCTAGCTTGTTGATCATTAAATCTACTATTATCATTTTTAATTTCTTTAACCCTTTCTTCAAATTTTTCAGCAAACAGGTACCAACACCTAATTTCTTCTTGGTAGGCTCAGGTTACACATTTTTCTGCTTGGTTTGCATTATAATATAACTGGAGTAAAGTTTTTAGTTTCAATTTCCTGGTTTTATTTTCTCTATCATTATCATCAATTGGTTCATGAGATATAGACAGTTTTTTTATTAAACCTTGCACTTTTTCAGATTCCATGGATTTCGTTTTACTTTGGAGGATAGCTCTACTGTCGTCTACAGATAATTTACTTACCTCTCCTGTTAGATTAGAGGTTTCTTTACTTTCACCTTCCACTGCCTCTGTCATATCTATGTTCTGAACTTCAGCTGGTGCTGGTCCTTCATTATCTATGAAACAAATAAGGCAAGTTTTTTGCTTATCTCTGTTAATTTTTTCAAGGCAGTCGTGATAGAGAGTATGACTACACACTAACATAGTAAATGCTTTGGGCAGATTTAAAAAAATTTCTTCATTATATTCATGACAATTCTCTAGCTCTAGTATTGTAATATCATTTGCAATAACTTTTTAGGATATTTATTTCTAAAGATTTTAATAACTTTGATCGTTTGAGGTATTTTTTAGCAAGTTCTCTTTCGCTAAGTAGTTCAAGACTCATAGTATAGAATATGCTAAGCTGGTTTACAAAGAAAAAAATTTTCTTATCATTTTACTCTTATCTGACTATATACTATTTTCACATTGTCTAGGATTATTTGCTAGATAAGAGCAAACAGATATAATATCCAAATCATTACAATTACCCGAATTTTAGTCAGATAAGTATTTGCAATTTATTATTAACTTATCTAGTTATATAATATACTTCTCATTATTAACAAACCAAATTTAGATACTATGAAAACTAATTTTGGATTTGGCGATCAGGTTCATTCACGAATTATTTAGTATGGGGGATCGCTCGATCTTTGCTAGCAATCATAGATAAAAAATTATGCTTAAGGGTAGACCTGAAGGGTCATTACTCTGCAATAAGTGCGGTTAGTGAGTTGGTTAGCATATATAACTTTACTAAAAAAATATCTAATAGGTCCAATTATTTCCAGATAGATTTATTGCAAAGCAGGCCCGAAGGGGGTGGACTCTAATAGAAGATTTCAGTGATAGTATTCAGAAGTGTAAGTAAGTTATATGTTTACATGTTATATCATATATATCAAATGTGTGGATTTTATTAAGTAATCTTTTATCATTTAATTTGAAAATTTTATTTTAGTTTACTAATTATATGTGATATATATTTCTCCAAAATTAAGTAGTCAAGTCAGAAATTGATACGTAGCATTATGTAGCAAAGCTATATATATTTATTCTTTTAGAATTTTATAATTACCATATAGGTATGTTGTAATCCCATCTTGATCTATTCACAATTTTGTATCTAGTGGGTTAATGCTTCTCTTTGTTTGCTTTATTCTATACATTCGATGTCTGTAATTTTAGAGGAATTGTGCAGTTCGTAGTTGATCCTTTTTTCTCTCTAAAGTATAGTTCTCGAATATTTTATGAATAAACTCTCTTTTGATAAATGATTTTTTTAGGCCTTTTGCTTTTAACATATTTTTTCCTGAATTTTCACACACAACACTATAGCATTTTGCACGAACTCCCACATAACTAATAGCTCGATCTCTTCTATTTTCATCCTTCTACTTATCTATAACTTTAGTATTTTTTAAGACATGCTTACCTTCTTCATTGATTATCCACTGATCTTCTAGAAGATTTTTTACTAGCCAATAATCTTCTAAATAGTCACTAAAATTGTATAAATCACAATTATTGATCATGTCCTGATAAATATTTTTGGTTTCAATTTCTATGATTAAAGAATCTGTATCTGTATATAAAAGCCTTACTCGATCCCCATATTTCTTTTTGAGATAACCATACTAGAAGTTATACATAAAGTATTTGGAAAGATCAAGAATACACACTCTTACATATTCTGGCTTATTTAGTTTTACATTAGTCTGTCTTCGATGCACAGCTACTAAGTTTGCCTCATAGAAAATTTTTTAACTAACAAATGCTAGATCTGAAATTAGTCTTCGTAATTTATGTTCTTTTCCTACCTGCCTAACTAAATTAATATTTACTCGTTTTCTAATATCTTCCATAGTTTTTCTAAAAACTAAGTTGTTTATCAATTTTCAGAAATCTTTTTCAAAGGCATTCATTGCTTTTGCATATTGTTGAGTATTCATTGCAATGTATAGTTCCAACTATGATAATTGTTTGAAACCTAGAATTCGATATACTTTTTCAAGAACATATCCTTCCTTTATACATTGTTGTAGATTTCTATAATGAATAATATAATAGTCCTTATCATGAAAAGTTAGTATAAGTTTTTCTGTATCTGAACGTTGCTTCCCTAACCATTCTTTTTGTTTTGAACTATACTAATCATATGGTACTTTCATTCATTCTAGACACATAGGATAGTTCTGAAACTTTGGATATAATTCTTTTGGAATTGATAACTTAACCTCTAAACAACATATTTGATTTGATTTTTCTTTTAATC